CAAAGGAATAAAATACTTAATAAAATTAATACTCAGTTTAATAATATTAATATATTTTATAGTTAATTTAAACATTAAGATAGAGTTAATCACATAAACGTATTTAAAAATTCATTTAACAGTATAAGATAAAACCATACATTTTAAACAATTATATTACAATGTTCAGAAAAGCTCAATAAAGTTATTATACTGCATAAAAAACAAACAGCTTAAGAGCAGCTATTAAAAAATAAATGTACCAGCCGTTTACAACAACACATAACAACGTAGAATTCAATATAGTTTCAACGTTCTCAAAATATTTGCTGTTTATCAACAGACATAAAATATCTGATCAAAGAAATTTTATTTATCATAATAGTGAAATTTATACGCGTTTGCATGTCTCAATTTCAGTTACTGGTTAAAAAAAATCAATTTAAACACATGCAATAGTAATAGAACATGTTATTTGTCCCATATTAAAAGATTGAGCAAAATCTAATAAATCATTACTCCCAACGGATTTTATGAACCAATTAAAAACTTATGAAATAGAAATATGTATAATGTGCTGGTAACGCGAATCGTGAGTACAAAAATACCCGCAGAGAGGATAATAAGTAATTATTATTGTGTACTGTGCGCGGGTGTTTTTTTTTTGTACATCTCCGCACACAATGCAATCATACTACGATCCTTACTGTAATGTTATGCAGGGTGAAGTTTTTACTTTGATTCCTATGTGCATTACGAAATGAAATAATTGAAATGCATATTAATCACACTTAGCGGCGGTAAAAAGATATTTGAAAAAATTGGTTATTGTCGGAGGATCTGTAGAAGAGACGGTTGACTAGTGAATCACGTGTAATTACTACAATATTATACACTTTATGTCTTTTAGCCGCCGAATATTAATTTACTATTTAAATTCGGCATGCTGTATTCTTTGATGTGTCGGAAAATAATAATAAAGTACTTCTTCGTGGTATGTATTATGTGTCCTAATGTGAACATGGCGCTAACAAGTGATAAAAAATACTACCTATGCAACGTAATAAGTTATAGGAACTTAACAATAGAATAATAATTATAGCGCCATATACAAAAGAATTGAAAAAACCGTAGATGTAGATGTCGATAGCTTACTGTAAAAAAAGAGTTAAAGAGCTATATATTTTTAATAGAGTAACTGCAGTAAAATTATTTAATGTATTGATTTTTTTTTTTTTTTCAGAAATTTCGTCTAGAACGTTAAACGATTCTAAGTATTAACTGATGAAACATAATATTTTTATCAGTTTATATTTTAACTGTTAAAAGCAAGTAAACCGGTGACACCTTACTTCGAGAAAATAAATTATTCAATGTCAAATCATTAGATTATCATTAGTCAAACATTTGGAGAATTTATGATTGAATATTTTTAAGTATCTAAGTATAAAAGTAAATAAGTTCCTCTTTTTTTTCATATTTATCTAAGACAAAGTAAATATTTATGAAAATTATAATACATATAAAACTATATATTTGCCTCAATCGGTTTCAGTCAAATTTATTGATATCAAACATTAGAAGAAAAGAGGTCATTAAACCTTAAGAAAAAAAAATATTGGCATCAATAGAGAAATCGCTATTATAAATAGCCTATTATTCAATACAGAATTTATTTCAGCAAGCACTACTTGCATTATACAATGCACAATGAAAATTAATGTAAATTTTAATTAAATACAACAGGCATTAATTGGTATTATTTACAGTGTTCTTTAAAGATGATGAAATTAACATATGAGAATGATTGGAATGTTAATAAATTTATATATTGTAATAAATCATTTTACAAAAAAAAAAATATGATTATATTTGTCAACAGTCATACTTAATCATTAACGCATTCAAAATACAATTTCTATTTTCTGTTTACATTTTTAACTTTTGTCATACACGTTATTTAATTTGAATTGAGCCTGAGGTTATTTTGAAAACGAATGTTATATTGAACCGATAATTTTAAAACAAATAAATAAACATAGTCATTGTTTTTACTTTGTAGCATAACAGGGTTGTTACTGGCTTAACCCGCTCATGATAACATCAAGACTGTTCACGAATTTAGAATGTAAACTATATATTACTCACTTGAATTACACATATTTCGAATAATAGGTAATGATACAATTTGAGTACTTATGTGTACATTTATTAAGCCAATATAACAACAATAAACTCAAACGTTAAACATAATTTTATTCNTTACACATATTTCGAATAATAGGTAATGATACAATTTGAGTACTTATGTGTACATTTATTAAGCCAATATAACAACAATAAACACAACGTTAAACATAATTTTATTTTCTGTACAATTTAAAAAAAAATAGGTGCATCCCAAGACAGGTGCAATTACTCTCGTTTACTTTTTTACAGAAATATCTGGTCTTGTGATCAAATCGTAGGCGTATATACAACAAACGACCCTCCTTGTTGACCCATTCTTAATAAAAACATAGCTATATTTTAAATACACAGAATGAATGATAATTGTAGATTTAATGTAATTTATTAAATTTTATTCAGATAATCTTAAAAATATTAAGTATAATAAAATCAAATATTATGAATGTGTATAAGGTGTTTATACATATACATATATATTATGTATGCAAGCCATTTTACATTAAGTAAGTATAAGTAGAATATTCAGTTGAATGTTCATTTTTGCAGTATGATTTTTACATTTTTAATAATTACAATTAATCAAATCGTCAACAACACTTATCAAATAAATTTTTATTTTATTTTCATCTTCTGTTTAATAAAAAAAACTTCTTATAGAAATTATTTTAAGAGGTTAATATTACCTAAGGGTCTAGATCAGTAATGAAAATTTAATACATTACATTGACATAAACCGATTTGTTAGGACTCAACACAATCCCACTAAATTGGTGACTGGCGTTGATGAATGCCAATAATTAAATACCAACGAAATATTTCAAAAAACAAATAACAAATTTAACAGAGTGAATGCTTTCATTTACTCCAACAAAAATTAAAAAAATGTTCACAGGTTCGCCTATGAAACGAATCGCCTTGTGTTGAACTTGACTGTAACGAAGACGATATTAATCTTTCTCGTCTAGTGCCCTCTGCACTAAATTATTATAATCGACTTTCAGTGTTTTACCAAATCTCGATTAACATTAAACGCGTAGATTTTTTTTATTTACAAGCGCAACCAGTTGCAGCGGCACGTTTATCGTTTACGATGCAAATTAGGGTTGACTACAATTAAAATGCACGTGTTATCCCCGAGGTATATAAAATGTTAATTTTTTTCTTATCCCGTTTTGGTTACCGAGCGGCAGCCAAAGCGGCTTCCCGCCCGGTCCGATCACTCGCGGTATTTTTTACCGATATTTTTTTTTACCAAAATAATCAACCCCATGCTGATAGCACACGTCTTCGTACGAATGATAATTACATTTGCGTGGGAACATTGTTACGTTTGCGGTATGTGCGCGGACATAACGGCGTTCAAACGCAATACAAACCGCAATCAATTACTCCTAAAAATATTATTAATATTAATACACCGCAAGAACTGTGTTGTTGTTTCGATTTAAATAGCAAAAGCAGGACGGCAATGTGTTCGATGACCGCCAAGATGGATATGCGAAGGTACTGAAATATACCGTACAATTTCGGGGTCGTTAGTGTTTTACCGTATTTTATACGACATAATAATACAAACGTAACGAAAAATAAATACTACAAATAAATCATAAATAAATTTGTTCGGAATTCACAAATCCATGTATATGTTTGTAGTGATTAATATAAAGTCAATATTGTAAACCTTTCTTAAAAATAAATATTTTTTGTTTGGTCCTTAAAGATGACGCCATCGCAATGCATTGATTGATGATGGTGTAAGGTTCTTTTGGAAATTGGCGTTGTGGCAAAGTAATTATGCTCTAGACTAATTGGGGTGTATAGAATGTAATAAAATATTTGCGAGTTTTTAACATATATATCAATTAAATATTGGGCAACGATATTAACCGACCGACATTTTGGTAGGACAGATTTGTAGAGATAAATTTATTGTTTCACAATAAAACAGTAATTACCGGAAAATTTCGCATCAAACGATTCGAACCGCTGGTCTTTTTTTTTTTATTGTTTAGGATATTTATGGATTTAAACCCATAAGAGAAACAGCGTGCTGACTATATTTATTATTGTTTGTGGACCATTTAGCCGACATAAAACAATAGTAGGCGCACGCGCGACTTTCCGCCAAGAGGATGAAAACGGTGTCGACGACGGAGTGTACATTACCCGTTTCCCACGAGGCTCCAGGGGTCTGTCTGTGTGTATATCGGTAATTACAGGTATAAAGTCGTATAACGACATAAGCACGTCGGCGGGTGTATGCTGTTGTAGAGCAGTGTTTTTTTTTTTATTCTTTATGGGCGTTACATAAAACTCACTAATGTTACACCGCGCTGACCAAAAAATTGACGCCATTTACTTAGGACTATCATCATTGTTACCGTTGCCAGAGCGTATGCGCGTCTATCAATAAGGGTCGGTTCCACCCCCGGTGCATCTTCTGTCTCCGACAAACGTATCATTTGCTCTACAAAACATCCACCGAAATCGGCATCGCGTACATACAATGGTAAGTATGTGTGATCGCCGTTCACGAGGTCTATAAAAAAAGAACTCGGTATACCGTTCCGTACGCAAAGAGCGCCGACGCCGTTTGATTATGAATAAACATTAATAAATAGACCAGTCGTTAATCCTCCCCAATCTAGCCAAGTGCATACAGTCTCCCTAGAAGACTTTTCATTCCTATACAACTGACACACCTCTCGGGGTTCACCTGTCCCGTCGGCTATAGACACAAAAATACTACTAAGTTACTCTTTTAGAACTTGTATAAGGTTACAAAACTGATTTTTTGAATTTGACAAAATAATGTCCAAATGTCAACTTACCAAACATAGTATAGATAATGTTTCGAACGAGCCCGTTGTTAACGATGTAGAACAAAGCAACTATGTGATAATCTTCTCTCCTAAATAAAAAATAACTTATCATAGGCGTGTAAAAATTACAAACGATTGCACATTAAAAAATAAAAGGTACTAATTAAAAGTGCATTAGACTTATTATAAAAACGAAATAATTTATTTTTTTTTAATGTTACAAACAACACAAAAACCTACGATTAAGAATATTATCGAATACGTTTCAAGTCTCATGTGTGACAAGTTGAGTTTTTTTACTTAGATAATTGAATAATTATAATTTTGTATCTGTTTTGTAATTGCGATCAAACAATTTCAATAACTTCACCTTTTTTTATTTATAATTTTTTTTAACAATTTTCAATTATATATTTTTTCAATGTTTACCCATAAAAATACTTTCGATATTAACAAATACATGCGTTGAACTTATAAGAATAATTCTTAACTTAAAATTAACTGGATATTTTCAATATTGAAAAATGAAACTAAAAAAAATATTAACCAGATGATAAAGATTTTCGACATTAATCTATAAAATAATAATATTTAATGAGTAAAAAACGAACAAAAAGGGTCATATCTTAATGCATCGAGATAAAAAAAATGTATATTTAGCACGAATTTAAATTTAGTTTTTTTAGTGATAGTTCCTCAAATTAAGTTACTTTAAGCTTTTGTTCAAAACATAGGTTATAATAGACAATGAATGTATCTAACTATGTTCAAATTCTCTCAATATACGTTGCAACCAAGATAGTTTTTACTTCTCTGTGCTTTCAAACTAATACAGTACAACAATGTAAAACATTGTTTATAGTAAGGGTAAAGCAACTGTCGATTACATTATACCGAAGAAATGTATCGCAGAGCTTTTTACAGATGAAGAGTCTCTGTGGCTACAAATGTGCCCCCAGGCATGGGATCTATGTCACCTGTTTGCAAACGATGATGGCTGTTGTGAGAAATATTTACTAACTGGTCGTCCTTTCCCCTTGTCCTCTTGTTAAAATGGAAAACGGAATTTGCATTAGCGCGCCTCTCCTTAAAATATAGTGCTCATCTGATCCACCCCAGTGTTGCCCTTAGGGTTGTTGTCTATACATTTATTGTTTTCTAAGACATTTTCGTTTGCCTCCCCTCACTTTATGTGCTTTACATAATATCAGACGTCATGCACAAAGGAAGTGCCTACTTACTACTGAGAGTTTAATAATATATTTGTAATGATATCTCTAAACGCTTATTTAATAATAATCAATTTTGATTTTTTAAATTTTATATAAATGAAATAATTCAATAATCACTTTTATTAAATATAATTAAAGACCGATTTTTATTTTTATTATTATAAACGCAATACAATCATCTGGTTATTCCTACACAGTAGTAACTACTAAATAATGTGAGTATAAAACTTATAAAAACAGCAAGTGTCAATGGACATGAAAATATAACCAAGAACATTATTATAATTCGTTTAAAAAATGTATATTTTTATTTTTGGATTATGAACATGTAAATTATGAGATAATTAGTAAAATTATAAATTATTTTTATCATCACAACAGTTCATTAAATTTATATGTCGGCAGTACGATAAATATTTACGATATATATTTTTTTACATCAGTATGTCACTTTTAATTTCATTATTTTATAACACTGGTGAATTTTTAAGTCGACAGAAATATATTTGTTAATACTTCATCAACAACATATAGATCTTCTAAAAATCTGAAGTTGAAATATAAAGCTAAGAAAATTCAAAATTTAAATCATAAAATAATATTTTTATTATGAGTTAGGAAAAAGTATGCTTTCAGAGTAAGAGCTATGCACTTAATTTTACAACCTAACATGTTTAATACCAACTATTAAAAATGTTACTTTTAACTATGACCATCTAACTGTTATCAGTTGAGATAACTAAAACATTTTTTCAAATATCTAACATCTAATGCTAATGACCAGCACTAGAAATTCGCAATGGCGGTTAGAACTAATTGAAAAAAATCAAGAAATACTAGACTACAGAGCAATATATAATTATTCACTTGATTTTACACGAAGAACAAGTGTTGGCATAGAAAGAGTGGGATAGGAGGCGGAACCCGAGGCTGTAGTGTAAATCGTTACTGTATAAGGTTATTATAGGTATTATGCGTAGTTCTATCACGTATTATAAAAAATTATTGTGCACGGAGAGTTTATCGATGGATCTTGTGGTTGTCAAACGGAATGAGCGGCCATACTGTTTAGAATGCGCGAAGAAGGCGGTGTATTGGTCAAGCACACAGGGCATCGAGTCGACCACCTTTACAAGATGCAGTGGTCAGTGGAAGTAGAAACTGTTTCCATCATACGCATACTGGTTTCCTATTTATAGTCAAGAGTTTTTCTCGGTTCATCCCAATGATTACCATGGTCGGGTTGGGTTTTNAACTGTTTCCATCATACGCATACTGGTTTCCTATTTATAGTCAAGAGTTTTTCTCGGTTCATCCCAATGATTACCATGGTCGGTATATATTCGTTACGCATGTATCGTCATTAGACTGCTATCGAAGAATTAGTTTTAATCGAACAATACTACACCAAAACCAGAGTTAATTAAAAAAAAACAATCTGTTTAAAATATAAATAAACAATTCAAAAAGTCCTATAAAACTATTATAAATGTTGGCATTATTGGTGTTTTAAACAAGCAGTGTTTATAACGTAACGAACCTGCCAAAAAGTTGAACGATCAACATTAAATCTTATTTTTTAGTAAGTACTGATACTAGATAAAATATGTTTAAAAAAGTAAACGAATTGAAAAAATACCCATGAATTATCATATACTCCGTAAGAATTTTTTATTATATAAAGTATATATTGTACTTTATTTTTTAACTTGGAATTATTTTATAATGATCACTGTTACTAATGATTTTTTAAAAAATAATTAATTATTTTACTGACGCTATTTTAATATTAAGCTTTCATATGAGAAATAACAAAATCAAAAAAAGAAAATTAATTTAAATACAATTAAATGTATTGACAAGTTGTAGAAAAATCTCATCGGCTTTTTCACGGGACTTTAAATCGCATTGCAGAAGTATTAATGTAAAAACAATGTGATTGACTGACATTTATCGAACAGAAATTGAATAACGTTGCAAATTAGATTGCCGGAAAGTAATAAACTTTACCGCAGGAAATGAAATTCTCTTTCACACGTTTCATTTGTAATTTTGTTCATGAAATGTTTTGGTCAGAACTCTTTCAAATCAAATCTTTATTGCTTTTCAAAAAATCGTCATGTATCTTTTGGCAAAGTTTTCTATTTTTAATTTTATAGCAAATTTGATTTTACAATTAAAATTGTTTTAATTAAATTTTTATACAGTATTCACATTAAATTTAGTTATTACCGCAGAGATACCTTATTTATTAATATAACTTAAATAAAACATAATTTCATTTATTGTTAACACCTCTTATTGAACTCTATATGATTAATGAAAAATCTTTGTAATGTTTTAAAATATAAATTTTAAAATGGCTTGTGCTATTAAATCAAAATCAATTTTTAGCTAAATAGTATTATTATTTATGTGTTTATAAACGTTACTAATCATTAGACAAGGTCTTTAAGGACAAAAAATTGCCTCTTAAATAATGAATACCAAAAAAATATAAGACTACAATAAATTTATTGGTACATTCGGTGTCTATACAATCTTAAGTCTAATCCTATAGGAAACTCTAAAGAACCGAAATATAAATTTTTATATACTTTTCTTAGTACTATGTATAATTATAATAAATTATGATTTAAATTGCCATAACGATAATTTACAAATTTTAATAGACCAATAATTATTTAATGAATAATAATATTAATACTAAATTAATCATATAAAAAGTGTTATTCTGCCCATCAATAACTCATAGAACATATCGTGGTGATAGTGCACTCTTACACTACAATTGCAGCACTGCCTAGCGACAAGCATCTGGGACAACGTTTTCTTTATTTTTTTTATTACTTTAAGCGTGTTTCTTATCGATTGCTTAAAGAACCTAACGTAGTATATTAACTGCAAAGAACATTTAGAATCATAAACGGCGGGCGTACACACTTACAACTACACTAAGATCTTCTCCAGAGATACGCTACATGAACACGGTTGTGGTCAGACGAAGGATATACTGAGGGTGGTGAAGCGAATAAAATATAATAATAATAATAATAATAATAATAATACTCCCGGTTAGAGTCCAGCGTGCTCGTTACACTTCATAATAGTATAATGTTTTGTACAATGCTCACACTATATAATTATTTCATTCATTAACCACATGCTTATGACGCGGAAAATCTCTTAGTCCCATCTACAGCGGCGTACCTATTGTCTAAACCGTTATGAATCTCAAAATACAACAACTACCATAGTATCAAAAGCTTGCCCATTATAATTATTATGATAATCAAACGGAGATTTTTTTTATATTTAAATACTTCCACTAGCATTATCATCTGCGAAAGATCCATAGTTACTCCAACATTAGTATATTTTCCGATTTGGTCGACGGTCAAATATTATTCTGGTAGATAAATGAGTTCTAAACAAAGTAATAATTTTCGAAACCTTTTCAGGTAATAACTTCTTTATGTACTCTCGTAATAATAATAAGTTTCTGCCGAGTTCTGGTCGCAAAATCCTAAATTAAATTCTGAAATTATTACAGTATCATATTTTTTTACGTTGGCATTCAAAAAAAAATTGATGTTCACTTTTTCCAAACATCATTTCAATATCGAAGCGGATTTTCAATTCAAAACGGAATTCGATTTGTATCAATCCCATTGATATACTTTTACGTCCGCATATATAAATAAATGATATGTTGTACTCGTGCGTTCGATGGGATTGAAGATTTTTTTAAGATTCGATACGAAATTGTCTTCTTTTTTCTTTTTTTTTTGGCGAAAATGCCTTTGTAGCAAACAAATATGATTTGTTGGCCGGGGAGCCGAACGTTGCACACTCAG